GTTAAGATACAGTTTACTATGTTCATACATTGCTTTGGGTCATACGTTACCATCCAAGTTCAGAGAAGGAGTTGAGCCAAAATTATTTCAGTTTAACAGGACAACAGAATATTATGCAACAATAGGGAAGAACAAATTACAACCACCTGAAAATAATATATTTGAGAAACATTACTGTTAAGGAAAATGCATTACAAAGGACTACTGTATGACTGGATCATTTATAAAGTCTAAAATCAAGCAAAATTGGCCAAACGTCAGTAGCTGATGCCTGCAGTCATAGCCAACTCAGAAGGCTGTAATCTGAGGATTGTGATTTAAAGCTGGGTGGAGCAGAAAAGTATGTCAGACTCCAAAATAGTAGCAATAAGCTGAGCAGGAGGCATGGCTCAAGAAGTAGAGTACCAGCTAAGCAAGTGGGAGGCCTTGTACTGAAGAAAACAAAAGTCAAGCAAATTATACAGTATGTTTTAGGAAGTAACACAAACAAAATTTGGGATAGCAGTTGCCCTGGGAAAGGGAGGATATTTTAGAAAGTCACAAATAAAATTAATCAAGTCACGAATGGTTCTTAAATCGGGTGCTCAACCTATGAGTGTTCCAAACTGTTAGCTTATGTATTATATTCATATTGCATGCATTCCTTTTTTGCAGGTCTCAAATTGCACATAGCACAAATATTCTTAAAATGGTAGCATAGATGAGCATTTTCCCTTCTTGCTCCCATTTTTTCTTCTTTTTTTTATGAGCTATTTAAAAAACTTTATTTTATTGTAAAGATGCTGTGCAGAGGGGTTACAGTTACGTGAGTAAGGTAATGAGTAGATTTCTTGTCGAGCATTGTTACTCCCTCCTTTTGTTTTTCTCCTACTACCCCTTCCCCCCAACTTCCCCCCCCCACCAACTCCCCAGCCCTGAAGTTGTAAAGTTCATTTCCAACATAGTGTCTTGTGAGTCTCATTGTTGCAACGGGTCATCTCGTGTCCTTATTTCAGCATTTTGTTATTCCCCTTCCTCTCCCCAAATTAGATCAATGAAAAACAAGATGCAAGATACCAAAATCAAATACAATGACAACAGGGATATACCATAGCGGGAAGAACCTTCAACAGAAACAAAGAAAGTCACATAGTATGTTACCTCTTATATACCGGCCTCCATCATCTTCAGATCACTCAGGGGTGGTGAAATCCCTGGGCTCACTTGGATGGTAATGCTTATAGAAAGGCAGTAACAGCCAAGTGGAACCAGATAGAGAGGTTAGGATGTCTGTCTACAATCCAAAGCTCAAAGCCCAAAGCCCAAAGCCCAAGAAATCTTGGAACATAGAAGAAAGAAAAATCCACAGAATAAGGCTCAATGACCTCTTAGAAAAATCCATGTGTATTGTCCCAACAATGACTCATACTTGTGAATGTAGACCAGGCTGAATTTGGTAATTATGAGAAACTTGTTCTTTTTTCTGCCCACTGTTCTTTTCTGAGCAACATGGGCCTTTGGAGTGAGGTAGGAGTTGGCATGTGTGTGGTGTGATGATGTCATATGTACGCAGATGGGCAGATGGGCAGATGGTCACGGGCTCAAAGGTTGTCTTGAAAAATCCAAGGCAGCTCTGTAAGAACTTGGTTGATGTGGGAATAAGAACTGGAGAAGTGGAAAATGGAAATCAGGGCTGATGTTCTGTTCCTTGGCGGTACTGCTTTTTGTTGCTGTCACTCCTCACCCTCAATGTACTGGCCAGTATTAGGAAGCAGAGCAAAGCTGCCCGTGGAATTTATAATTCCTTCATGGATTGCTGACTCAAGGAAGGTGGGGCATGCGAGGGTTATGGAGGAGACTTTGTCTTCTTCACCATTTCTATCCAGTGAGTGCATGGGACCAACACCTAACTCATACTTTCCTTGAGAACACTCAGAGGCCCCTGTGTTAACTTAGTATTTGCAGATGAATTCTCAGACAGGAAAAGGTACAGCATGTCTGTTTTATTTTAAAAAAATAGTTTCAACAGCTTTTATGTAATGCTCATGCATCTGGAAGTGAGAATGTTAAAAGTTTCATTTCACTAAAAATGGAAAAAATAATTATACTTTAACCTTTAACTTTAACTCACCACAAGAGGCCTTTGGGGAGTACCAATGTGTGTGTGTGTGTGTGTGTGTGTGTGTGTGTGTGTGTGTATGTGTGCATTCAATGTGTGTTTACTGTGAACACATTATGTCCCAAGAGCTATGTAGGTTGTTATGAAAAATGCAGTGGTCTGGTGAGGATGTCTAATAAGCTCATAGTCTAGAGAAATGAGAGGGGGTAAAATACAGTACACGTGGGAATGTATCACGAAGGAAGTAATACCCAAGCCCAAGTGAAGGGACACATAACGAGAAAGAATAAGAAGGACATTCCCCACCAAAGGACTAAAGCAAGTCTAGATGAATTTTGCCCTATGGCTAAAATTTCACCAGATTTCATGGCACACACACACGGGTCCTCCTGATGATAACATTAATGATGAATCCACATAAAAATTGTCGAATTAAGGATTTTGTGGCTAGCTTCATCTATTCTACCCCCTTATTTTGTGTTGCAAAGAACACTATATTTACACACTGTTCAAACACTCCTAGTATTATAACCAATGAAGAGAACCATGATTCAGTTTAACTGTGGCTTCGTATGCTTGAGGGAAAACAATTGGAAGTTAGGAAGTTAGTTTTCCTGGCACATATTTTCAGGTAATTCTAAGCGCCTCTGAGAAGAGGGTTGAGCCCCAGTCAAAAATCTGACATGCTTTGTTGTTTGTCATTTATCACCGAGATGAGGTGAATTGAGAATGGAAATGTCACAACGTAATACTGTTAGCAGCTTGTACTTTGATAGCGCATAGTATGTCTAAAAGACATTTATATATTGACTGTATGAAAGAGAGAGAATAATATCATAGTGTTGTAAGTGTGCTTTGTTGCTGAGCCCACTGTGCACAACTACTGTTATGTTCTGGTAGCATTATAAATCACTTACATGATTTTTTTTCAAAACACTGTTGCAAAGTAACCTTGCCTCCTTGCCCTCTCTGCGTAGTCAATTTTATTAAATTACTGCAATTCTAAGTCAGAATCTTACCTGTCTGCTGTTCATTCAAACAGTTGATGGCAAATCCATTAGACAAATCCTTAGTACTTATTTATAAAGTCCTTTCACTCTGTACAGTAATTCAAAGAAATAGATGAATATGGATCTCTATGTTGGGTTTTAAGCAAAAGAAATAATGTAGATTAGGGCAGGCATTGGTGGCTCATGCCTGTAATCCTAAGTATTTAGGAGGCTGGAATTGGAGATCATGGTTCAAAGCCAGCCAGAAAAGGAAAGTCCATAAGACTCTTATCTCCCATTAGCCTGCAAAAAGCTGATAGTAGAGATGTGGCTCAAGTGGTAGAATGTCTGTGGGAAAAATGCCAAGCGTACTAAAAGAAAAAAAGTAAAAAAACAAAAGTCAAGCCCCAGTACAGGCAACAAAATAACACCACCACCAATAATAATAACAATATAAAAATAATGTAGAATAAATATTTAAAATAATTATAGCTAAATATTGCAAAAGAAATGCAAATCAAAACAACATTGAGATATCACCTCACCCCAGTTAGAATGGCTATAATCAAGAACTCTAATAACAACAGATGCTGGAGGGGCTGTGGACAGAAGGGAACCTCCTGTATTGTTGGTGTGAATGTGAACTTGTTCAACCACTTTGGAAAGTAGTATGGAGGTTCCTCAAAAGACTCCACATAGAGCTCCCCTATGACCCAGCAATCCCACTTTTGGGCATTTACCCAAATGATCACAAACAAGACCATACTAAAGCTACCAGTACAACTATGTTTATTGCAGCATTATTTACCATAGCTAAGATATGGAACCAACCCAGATGCCCCTCAGTAGATGAATGGATCAAGAAAATGTGGTATATATAACAATGGAATTCTATGCCTCCATCAGAAAGAATTTGTTAGGAAATGGAAAGACTTGGAAAAAATTATATTAAGTGAAGTAAGCCAGGTCCAAAGAAACATAGGTCCCATGGTTTCCCTTATTTGCAATAGCTAGTATATGTCTGAGACAAACAGAAAAGGTCAGATAAGTTGATGTTAGGTGAAATGAACCCCAAGATAAGTATTCAAATTTTTTTTTCTTTCTTGCTATTGTTTCTAACATATTTATAAGATGATTTCTTTGTGGTTTGTATGTCCCTCCTCCATGGTATAACCCCTGCTTTCATTGTATTTGATGTTGGTATAATTTGTGGAGGGGAAGGACAAAAACAAATTGTTTAAATAGGGATACAGTTGGACCCATGAGATGTACAATGAGATGTACAAGTTGTTATGTTGAAAAACCAACTTTACAACTTTGTCCGGGCGGGGGTGTGGGGGTGTGTGGGGGAGGCAACAATGCTTGATAAGAAATGTACTCATTACCTTGCCCATGTAATTGTAACCCCTCTGTGCGGTATTTTCACAATAATTTTTTTTTTTAATGCAGCACATAAATAGCAACATTTGTGATTTCTTTCATTCAATCTTACAGAGAATTTTTGGGCATAAAGATTTCTGTTAATGCCTTTGCCCCTCCACAGGAAGACTACAGATTATCCAAATAGTAGACTGACCTTCAGGTTAGTGACTAAAACTCTTGGCAGTCTGGAGGGTTTTTTGAGTCTCTTTCTAGCAGCTTTCAATGCCCTTATAGAGATAATCATGCTAATAATGTTTGAAAAAAATTAGCAACTAAAACTGCCATATTTGAAGCATAAACTTAAAAACTTGATTGCCTTAACTATAATGATGTGAGAGAGAGAGAGAGAGAGAGAGAGAGAGAGAGAGAGAGAGAGAGAGAGAGAGAGAGATCATGCAAAGGCTGTTTCTCTTTTTTGTGACTTTAGCTAATGTTAATTGAGGCCACAAAAGCTGCTGAACTCAGTGGGAATCTTGTTTTTATAATTACAGGTTCAAGTGTCTTACATTGAGTTTCTCCTGTCACCTATTGTACTCAAGCAAAATCTGTGGGAAAAGCTCTACTGGGAAGGGGCCGATTGCTTCTGGTCTCCAGTGGATGAAAGCAGATGGTATCGGTAAATATCTTGAGTCGCTAACCAAAAATGATGATCATTTAGCTATGTTTAGTGGTGGGCTATATTAATAGCTCTTCACACATGCACACACACACACACACACACACACACACACACACGCACACACACACACATATACATGTTCACACATATGGAATGAGTGTATATCTACCTGGCCAGTATTAACCTTGTATTTATTCTTCCTGTCTCTTCATAAAACTAGAACTGTTGAGCCAGGCATTGTTGGCTCCCGTCTGTAATTCTAGCTATTCAGGAAGCTAAGATTCACAGGACCAAAGTTTGAAGCCAGCCTGGGTAGAAAAGTCTGGAAGAGACTCCATGTACAATCAATCAACGAAAAGTTGAACTAGAGATGTGGCTCAAGTGGTAGAGGACCAACCATGCAAGCAAGCCTAGCAATTGCAATGCCCTGAGTTCAAATCCTGGTAAAACACACACACACACACACACACACACATACACAAACACACACACACATACACAAACACACACACACACATAGAATAGAACTGTTGCTTTTATAGTGGGAAAGAGATAACTTCTACTTACTTTGAGATCACCAATTAGGATAGATGACAAGGCATTGGTAAGAAATGGAGAATTCTGAAGGAATATTCATTGGCACCAACAATCAGAGAGTCGTCATAAAGATCAATAGAATCAATAAAAATATATAGTCCGCTAACTTTCACTATTCTTAACAGCATTGTTTTATAGCAGTAGATTGTTTTTTATACAACAGAATTTTTTTGGGGGGGAGGGGGGTGAGGGTTGGTCATGGGGCTTGAACTCTGGGCCTGGGCACTGTCCCTCAGCTCTTCAGCTCAAGGCTAGCGCTCTACCACTTGAGCCATAGTGCTACTTCCAGTTTTCTGGTGATTAATTGGAGATAAGAATCTCACAGACATTCCTGCCAAGGATGGCTTTGAACCACAATTCTCAGACCTCAGCCTTCTGAGTAGCTAGGATTACAGGGTTGAGCCACTGACGCCCGGCTTACAACAGAATTTTTATGGTTCTGTTCTACACCAGTGAATAAATATCCTAACATTCATTCAGCTGATCTCCTTAATCTGGCTATTGCGTCATTTATAATGTTTTTGCTTTTATGCTGCCAAAATATTCTTGTAGTTCTATGCTAGTTTCCAATATTAATGGCTTCTTTAACTTAATTGTCTATCAGCAGCAAATTGCTAAATTAGAGGGTTTTTTTCTGGTTTTAAGATTTTTGATACTTGTTGCCAAATTATTATCCAGTAGTTATTTCAGTTTCTATTTCCATTTGAAATCCGTGAGAATATCTACATCACACCCTTTTCCAGGGCTGACAATTCTAAAAACTAGAACTCTTTGCCAGTTGATTGTAAGAAATAGTGTCTCCCTATGTGCGCATACGTGCGTGTGGGTGCTGAATGCTGTATGCGCAGAATGGAGAGCATTTATTTTGTACGTCATACTGTTTTGAAGAACCTTCCTCTTGTAGACAGTAGCAGACTTGAAACTTAGCAGCTTTTGACATTTGAGAAGTAGTACTAAATCGAGGAGGAGTGGAAGAGCCCTAGGGAATTTTAAGTTCTTCCTTTTTGGCCAAGTATTTTTAGACAGTTGTGAAATAACTGGATAGCAATAATTTTCCAATGGAAAACACGTCTTTTGTTGTGCTTAAAAAGAGTAAGAATGCATTTAACAAAAAGCCTTCATGAACATGCATCTGAAGTTTAAGCTCCTCCTGAGCTTAAAGTAGGTATATACATGTGAATGTATGGATACTTTTATATGTGTCAAGTGTTGGGAACAAGATCAAATATAATTACAATCAGCCTGTAGAATGAATTGGTTTCAGGTCCCACTGGATGAGGCTGCAGGTCCAGAATGCCTGGGCACAGACTCCAACCCCACTGTTGCCTCCAGTTGTCACGTAGAACAAGTAAATGCAGATAAACATAGTACCCATTTCATGGGTGTTGCTTCAAATAAATACAATGACATGTGTAAAGCTGTGAAAGTCTTGTGGCGAGAAAATGTCCAGCAATGCACCAAAATGATCATGATAGATGTCACCAAGTATAATTCCAGTCTGGGAGAATTATTCTGCCCTTCTTTCTCCTCCTTTTCTTTCTCTCTGGTGTCTAAAAGAATGTCACAACTTCTGAATGACTTGCATTAACACCCAATGAGTGCATGTTCGGGGCAGGCTACTTGATTGATACGTTCAAGTCAGAGACTCAAAGCAACATTAGAACTCTGAACTCACACACCTGTCACCTGACTGGGGGCACATAGGGATGAGCTCTGTGTGAGAGCAGAGTTCCATTCTCACCCAGGCTGCCTCTCTCCTGGGTGGGACCACAAATGTCTGGGATTAGATGAGCTTGTAAGTGTCTTGTGAGCCACAGAAGGAGTGTTTTCAAGTTTCTGGCACCGTACATGAGCTGACTCAGCTGATTCCTCTCTTGTTCCTATTACTAAAAATGTTTCATTTCACTAAGTAAGTGAATGAACAAGAAGATAGAGTAAGAGACCCTCAGCTCTTAGACAATTTGGGCTTTGTCCGACATAAGCCCCAAAGGGAAACTGGGGTTTTAAATCCTTCACCCCTTTGGCTACATCTGAAGATTGAAAAGTGAAAAGGAGAATAAGGGTCAAAGAATGGTTTAGACTTTGGGAAGCCAATACAAGGAGACTGGACAACTTTAGCTAATGCCTTACAAATGGTTTCCCACGCAGCCAGCCTGTATGTGTGTGTAGATGCTGCATTCATTCCAATCTGAATTTCCTGTCTAATTGGAATAGCTCTGTATTTCTCAGTAAAAGAGGGGAACATCTGAATTCCCAATTAAGACATTTTAGTCTAAGAATGCCTCTTTAATGGGTCATAAACTATTCTCCTATAAGTGATTCTGAAGATGAATAAGAAAATACAAGTTGAGTCCATACACATATGAGTATTAATTCAACAAAATGAATGTTTGTAGGAGAGTGAACAACAAATACATCGGCAAATATAGGTCAGAAACAGAGTTTCTAATGTTCTTTCAGATTCCAGTGAGGCCCTTTCTGAGTGTGGGTAGAAAGGCCGAGTGTAACTGCAGTGAGAATGGAAATAACACAGCCATACGGAACACTGAGTATTTGGAGAGCACTTAGCTTCTTCCTCCTCCACTCCAGAATCAGTACACTCAAACAGAGAGAAAGAAACTATTCTCTAGCTGTGGGTTGCTGGCTGGTGTGCAGAAACACAGACATGTTGATTCTCAAAGGCTTATCAGAGTACATTTCTCTAGGGAGGCAGGAAAGGAGACAATATTATTTGAGCATTTCCAGCAGTGCTGTCATCACCAGTGTTTAGTTGTCTCCATTCCTTAAGCCTAGTTGTCCAAACCGTGTTTGTAGTCTTGCAGGAGAACTATCTGCAAGACCAGGCCAAAACATTTCTGAGTCTGAATTACTGGGACTCCATGGGAAACTTTAGGAGACTCTAAGATGTGGACAGTAGAGAATTAAATGACAACTTTTGAATTGTGACAAATGGAGACAATATCTTTCCACTCCAGTCTCATTCAGTCATTCACCACTCGTTTATTCATTTAGCTAATGCTCCCTTAAGGGCTAATTCTTCTGTTATACTACAAGGCTTTGGAGACACAGATTGGGTCAGGCCAGCATGGGCCCAGAGACCTTGTCTCCAAAATAACCAATATATCAAAAGCTGGCAGAGTGGCTCTGTAATAACTTAACTATACAGTTGTGTACCAGTATAACTAACTTTAGTTAACTTCAATTTTAGGTTCCAGATGATAGTAGTCCCACTGGTTGTCACATCTTGGTCAGTTTACTAATTGGAACCCTTCTTTTCAGCTTGGTTTGTGACATTTAACTTTCTTCCCTCCTTTTCTGAATCTGTGTAGGTCTTTTAACGAATAGAATCAATGGGATATTTCTTTTATCTCCTTGGGCCTTCAACATAGGTTTTGCAGATACTACATTTCTGGTTTTAGATTTACTATATATGATGGGTCCTTCCTGTCAACCGCCCTGTTTTGTGGCTCAAGCATCTATTATGGAAAAGCCAGACATTTTTCCTTCTCTTGACAGGCCAATATTGGTTTTTTATGCCACTCTACTACTGCCAACACACACCACACACACACACACACACACACACACACACACACACACACACACACACACACACACACACACACACACACACACACACACCTGTAGTTCATTTCAGTTCATTCTGGAATACAAGGCCTTTTCCCACTTACATTTCCATGGCTAAGAAAACCTATCTTGTTATACATTAAATAATCTAAAATAGAGATCTTCCCCCAAAATGACCTTGAACAGAAGTATGCTCTCCCCTTTTCCTCTGAACTTCATTCAATTTGGATATAGCATCCATAATTCAGAGCCATTTTGGAGGAAGGCAGCATTTTAAGGTACTTAATGATGTTTTTGTGGTAAAAGGAAAAAGATGGAGAGTCAAATGCTCAAGAGAGTACATAGCATTTTATCTGTAGCTTTTCTAAACTATTTTGGAGCACATTAAGTTTCTAAACAGAGTTTACCAGCCATTGGTGTGAAACATTTTACTTTTTAAAAGCTTCATAAATGGTAGGATTTATGATAGCAATGTGGAAATATTCACATAGTTGTGATAACTTTTATGAAATAAGGTAGAATACTTTGTCATGATGGAATAGAACATGTTCAAATGTGTGTATAAATGAAGCTTACTGTTTTATGTTTCCATATTGGGGCCCTAAGCCAAGTGCTGTGGGTTCCCTCCCCCAATCCTCTAATACATTGCTGTTGGCTTATGGTTGTGTCAACCATGAGCAAGAGAATGCTGACACAACTTTTCTCAAAGTGACAGGATTCTTTGGTACTTTGTGAATTACACCATGTTCTCTCAGTGTTTATCAAATGAAATGAAACTTTTGATGTATTTTCTTTTTTTATTGTAAAAATAC